ACCAGTGGGAAGAATGGGGAGAGAACCTATAGAGCTGTGCCTTTATTAAGGCTCCATAGGGGTTTTCCTTTAGGCTTTCCCTAGGAGGTTTGTGGACTGGCTCGTTTAAAGAAAACACACTGGAAGGGGATTTGTGTGATTTTGACTATCAGATTGCATTAAAGTCAGCAGCTGTGGGATATGTTAAATTTTGGGACAGATAAGGAGCAAGTGGATTAAATTACACACAACCTCACAGAGTTTTAACTAGGGCAAAGGTGATGGGTGTGTTTCAAATTTGTCATATCTGAAAATGGGTGCCAGGACAGCACTTAAACACATTAAAAAAAAAAAAAAGATTTACTTATTTATTTGAAAGGTGGAGTTACAGAGAAGCAGAGGCAGAGAGAGAAGAGAGATCTTCCATCCACTGGTTCACTCCCCAAATGGCTGCTAAGGCTGGAGCTGGGCCAAACCAAAGCTAAGGGCCTGAAACTTTCTCTAGGCCTCCCTAGAGGTGGGTGCAGGGGTGCAGGGGCCCAAGGACTTGGGCCACCCTCCACTGCTTTCCCAGGTTGTAGCAGAGAACTGGATTGGAATTGGAGCAGCTGGGTCTGCAACTGGTGCCCATGTGGGATGCCAGCCAATGCAGATGGCAACTTTACACTCTATGCTGCAGCGCTGCCCCTAAACACATTTATGACAATCAGTTAATACTGTTTTCTTATTCATGGATATGTGATATTTATTTACGTCTTTAATTTCTGTCACTGATGTATTTTAGTTTTCATTATGTCTAGTACTTTATTCCTAATTTTTCAAAATTTTCCTTTTGTTAAAAAATGTCAGTCTAAATGTGAGTGTTGCTAACTCTCCTTTTTTCTTTTTAAAGATTTATTTATCTTAAAGTCAGAGTGTGTGTTGGGGAGAGAGGGAGAATCTTTTATCCACTGGTTCACACCACAATAGCCAGGTCTGGGCCAGGCCAAGGCCAGGAGCTTCATCTGGGTCTCCCTTGTGGGTGGCAGGGGTCCAACCACTTGGGCCATCTTTGGGTGCTTTTCCAGGCCATTCATTAGCAGGTAGTTGGATCAGAAGTGGAGCATCCAGGACATGAACCTGCACCCATATGGGATGCTAGCATTGCAGGCAATGCCTTTACCCACTATGCAAAAACACTGGCCCCAACATTCAGTGATTCTTCTTCTTTTGATAATGACTCCAAATCCAAATTTGTAATGTGGGAGCCTGGATTGATGCTTTATTTTTTCTCCCCAAGACTAATGTTTTATTTGAGCCATTCTCTGCTGACTTCCCAGGCATATCAGTAGGAAGAGGCATTAGGAGCAGAGTAGCCAGGATCCAAACTGGCTTAATTCCCTGTGCCACAACACTGGCCCCAGTAGGTGGTGTAAATCTTAAGAATGGCTTTACTTTCATGATCTGAAGGCTTCATGAAGGCATTAAATTCCTCATTTTTTTCTCTAAAGATTTATTTTATTTATTTGGAAGGCAGAATTACAGAGAGAGGTAGAGACAGAGAGGGAAAGGTCCTTCCATCCACTGGTTCACTCCCCAGGTGGCCGCAACGTCAGAGCTGAGCCGATTCAATGCCAGGAGCCAGAAGCTTCTTCCAGGTCTTTCACGTGTTGCAGTGGCCTAACCACTTAGGCCATCTTCTACTGCTTTCTCAGGCCAGGGCAGAGCTGGATTGGAATAGGAGCAGCCGGGACTCAAACTGGAACCTGTACGGGATGCTAGAGCTTCAGGCTGGGGCTTTAACCCACTGTACCACAGAATTGGCCCCTAAATTTCTCATCTTTGTAAGAGGTTCTGTGCATGGGGATGGCATCATCATTACCTCATCTCACTCTGTTAAAGAAGGGGCAGTATCAGATTAAAAATTTTTTTAAAAAAAGATTCACGTGGAAGGCAAACTTAGTAAAGGAGAAACTATCTTCCATCCATTGATTGACTCCACAAATGGTCACAATAGCTGGGCTGGGTCAGGTGAAATCCAGGAGTCTGGAACTCCACCTGGGTCTCCTATGTAGATGGTAGGGACCCCAGTACTTGGGCCATCTTTTGCTGCCATCCTAGGTGCATTAGCATGGAAAGAGCTGGACTGGAAGTGGAGCAGCTGGGACTTGAACTGGAACTCACTTGGGATGCCAGTATCACAAGTGGCAGCTTAACTCACAGCACCACAACTCTGGCCTGAGTCAGATGGTTTGCTTTACAGGCAGGTTTCCTCACTTAGGCTTCCACAGACAACTCCACTGAATATTCCAAGCAGATCTTGAGTTGAATTCCAAAATTTTGATCAGATCCAAGTTCTGAACTCCTGTTCTCAAAACTGCCACATTATATTTTGTTCTTAAAAGAGGGAAGGCTGTCATATCTAATAGTTGCTACTGTGGTTCAAGTTTCTTTACCACTTTTCAGAAATTTTCTTAACCTTTATGGATTTTTCATATTTTCTCATGAGCTCAGCATTCCACTTAAAAGTATTTCTTGTTAAATTTATGTAGCCTTTCTGTTTTGCAGCAGTAAACTTCTTAGAAAACCTTGATGCCAGCAGGACCAATAATTTCATCATTTTCTATAGTGTTTTACTGAGATATAATTTGCTTACAGCAACATAAAATCCCAAGTATTCAGCTCAATAAATTTTTCAATAAATTTGGAAATACAAGTTACGTCTGCATGTGTTACCACTACCCAAATTAAGACATGGAACCGTCCTATCATTCCAGGGAATTTTTCCATGTTCTGTCTCAGTCTATACTCACTCCTGGTGGTAACTGTCCCACACCGGTTCTACCAGTTCTTCAGATTCACATAAATAGAATGCTTCTAGTTTTCCTTGTTTAAGAGTTTTTTAGGTTTATCCCTACTGTTTAATCAAAAATTTTCTTTAATAGCAAGTCAATATCCAATCTCTCAACATTAACATTATTTGATTATCCATTAAGTTGCTGATGCATATTTGGCAGTTACAGTTTGGAAGTACTACACATAAAACTGCTAGGAATATTCTTCTATGAATCTTATTATGAGAATATATCCTGATTTCTCTTGGGCATATCGCTAGAAGTGAAATCACTGAGACACTGAATGTGCATATGGTTACCTTTCTAAGAAGCTGAGTACCTGTTTCTCAAGGAGACTCTACCATCTTACACTTCCATCAGTTGCTCCAGTCTCACAGCTAGGCAGGTGTTTCCCTGTAATTTCACTTTGCATTCCCTGATGACTAACGTTGAACACCTTTTCTATGCTAATTGTATATTGTTAGGTTCTGTGAAGTGTGCATTCAAGTCACTCATTTTTATATTGGATTGCTATGCAATGGTTTTTAAAAATTCTTTGCTTTTCTCTTAGGCTATGGCTTGCCCGCTCACTTTAAGAGCACCTTTGTTGAGAAGTCCCTAACTTGGATGAGATTCATAAGCATTTTGGTGTTAATAGCTTTTGTGTCTTAAGATATCTTCACATAACCTAAGGCTGTTGAGATTCTACACTTTCCTCTCTAAGATTTATTGTTCTGCTCTTCACATTTAGATTTATAATCCACTTTGAATAGTGTATGTAATGAAGAGCAGGTATCAATATTCAGTTTTTTTCTCATAAAGGTATTATTAAAATCCCCCCTCCTTTTTAAATTTTTACTAACTTGTTTGATGATTTTTGTTATAAAGCAAATAACCACATATATATGGGATCTATTTCTGTATGCTCTACTCTACTGAACTATTTATTTTAAATTTAGTGCTGCACTTTTTTAATTGCTGTAGTTTTTACAGGAAGTCTTAAAATTGATGAAATGTAGTCTTTCAATTTTATTTTTTTCTTCAACATTATCTTGGCTATTTTGGGTCTGCTGCATTTTTGTATTTGACAATTTCTACAATACAGCTTCATGGAACCTTAATTTCATTAAATCAATAGTATGCTGCTATCTTAACATTATTCAGTCTTTCAACTCATAAACACAGTATATTTATCGTCATGTTCTGTGCTTTTTCTCAGCACTGTTTTGCAGTTTTCAGGGTAGAAGTCTTGAACAGCTTTCTTCCTAGATGCTTGATTTCTTTAATGCTATTATAAATATTTTAAATTTTAATTTGAAGTGTTTGATACTAATGCACAGATTTGCAAAACTGAGTTTTATATATTTGTCTCATATCCTGCCAAATTACTAGTTCTGTTAAATTTATCAAGGAAATGCTTAGAAATCACCAAGTAACCAGATGGAAGAAATGTCACATAACTGGAAACAGATCTATATTTTCCAATGGTAGAAAAAGTAATTCTTTGTGTACAAACTCTCATAGTTATCACCTCAGAAACACTACCTTCTGAATTTCTTTGTTTTTTGGAAGAATATGTAACTATAGAGTTAAATTTGCTCCTTGTGCATTTCTTGGAAGATGAAGAGAGCAAAGGAACCTCTGTTTTTCAGCTAAATGTAGAAAAGAAAATGAGGACATGGCTTCCATGGTGCTCTCCATTTGCAGAACAGTGAACAAAATACTCTTTCTCAAGAATGCCAAATGAGGACAGGGAAACACAATAAAATATATTGGGATTGGGGTGGGTGAATATATTTATGAGATGCAAATTATCCTGAATAGTCACATTAGTAATTCTTCACTAATTCCACCTTCTTATCCTTTGCTTTTTCGTTCATTCTTCCCAATTTGACTTACAGTACAGTAGTCAGCAGCTGCCTAATCTACAAATAACTTTCATGAACAGGGATTCATTTTAACTTCAAATAAAACCAATGTAAGGCACAACTATTTAGGAATATTTTATATTTTCAAAGTATTTAGGAATTCTTTAATTAGAAAAATAAAGGCAATGGGATTATCTATTAGGTTCTAAAAGTACCCATGAATTAAGTCACTCACATTCCCCACTTAAAAAAACAAAACAAAACCTTAAATCACATTGCTGTTGAGCTTTCTTACAGTAAAGAGTAAGACCAAACTATGCTGGAGTACAAAAACCTGCAATTCTGAGCATGAAAATAATTTATTGATTAGACATCTGATTTATTCAAGCATTAGGCCTACTGAAGATAGAATTCACACACAGCTCATGGAATAAGAAAAAATTCCACCCAGCACCCACCTACTTCATTTCAAAGTTGCTAGGGACACGGTTTACGCATTCTGTCCTAGAGCGTTACCCTGAAGCATCCATATGTGCTTGATGTTGACTAACTTGAATAGGATAGGAGCAAATTTGTGTACTCTCAGCCTGGCAAGTATCATTGGTGATGTGACTTTCAGAAACATTCTTAGACACAAGAAATAGCACTGCCTGCAGTGAAGTCTTTGATAATCAAAGAAACAAATACCATTAAATAGAATCTTACAAATGGAAGAAAAATATATGCAGTTTTACCAATGGATTGCTTTACATATCATGAAAAAAGTGAGATTTTCTATGAGATTAAAAATTAACTTTTAATTGATACTCAGGTATTTTTGTGGTACTAAAATCAGGGAAAAATCAATTTTACATAAATGGAATTTAGGGAAAAAATGCAGGACTAGCTATATGGAATAATAGCTGCACTTCTTCTGCTAACTCATTAAAAAATGCCAATTGAACATTATCAGGAAAATTTTATTTTAAAAAAGCAGATCGACATTACAATTGAAGAATCTGATCTAAATATGCACTTGACAATGAAGTACATTTGAGTATGGAGTGGAAAAGGTTTTCCAAAAAAACTCATCAAATATATTATCTCCTAATACCCAAATTATGTATCGCTTCTGTAGGCCTTTGTTAAGTGGAATCATAAAGAACTTAACACTTATTGCTGTGAAAACAAATCTGTAGTACAGTAGTATGAAACTTGGGTATTAAGTATAATCTGTTGAATCAAGCTAAGAAGTTGAAAATGTTAAGAAATTTCCATGTGTGTATGTGCATGTGCATGAGTGTGTGTGTGTGTGTGTGTGTGTGTAAGCCAGCTGACCCAAGAGCAACTGAGAGACCTAATTTGTTTGGCTGAGACTAGATATTATGTTAAATCTTCATTTTTTAGAAGGCAATTAAAAATTACAATTCCAACAGCCCACAAACCAAATAAAAAAACACTGTAGAAAGAAATTAAAACTATATTCAAAGAGCTATTTTTTTAAGCTCAATTTCAGCACCCCAAGGAAAATAAAAGCATCCATGACTATCACAGATGAAAACAAAATGAATGTCATTATAATCAGTTATTTTTCCCCACTGAGGTATAAAATCTATATAGAAATTTGATACTATACTATAACAAATTGTACTTCTCATAGTTCTGTTTTAATTTCCTTTAAACCCTGTTTAATATAGTTTTTTTATTGTTGTAAAAATGTTTTCATGATTCTGAATCCGGTTCCAGTTCATTTTCATTTATTTTTATATCAATATTTAATATACTGGCTACCAGTTCTAATCAGGAAAAAAAATCTTGGAAATCTCTTCAATGTGACAGCACGGTCAGTAGAAATTACTGTTGTGCAAGCAAACCATAAAAGGTGTAGCTCTCCGGAAAGCATTTTGTTGCCTGTTTCACTGTCTGAATATTTACCATGACTCTTGATGAAAGATTCTTTCACCCTTGTAAACATCAGTGTGCACAGTCTCACTACTATGCAGTTTCACGTCCTTGGACAGGAAGGCTGGTTCACAGCTAGTGAAAAGCTAGAAGAGTCTAAGTTTTAATGGCTGGTAAACCTTACATCCTGCAGAAGAGGAAAGCACTTTTCCTTTTTTTTTTTTTTTGCTACTTGAAGAGTGTGGCAGAAATGTATGCTGAGGTAGCCCAGTCTCATTATTTTTTCTTTTTTTGTAAATTTGGTCTCAGAATATTTCTGGAAGTGTGACGTTTCGAAGAAGCCACTGCTGTGACCGGCTTCCACTGCAGTCTCTAATGCTGGGCACCTGGCTATCCTCTTCGGTGGCTTTGTCCAGGCACTGATTACTGTTCACATGCCGTAAGGTTAACTTCTGAAAGTGACAAACAAAAATAAAAACCAATCATTTTTGATGATTATTGAATTCTTGGTGGAAACAGTGTTTTTTGGAAACAAATTATTTAGAAAATAGTGGAAAAAAGGTATATAATCAAAGAGAGTCTTCAGAGCAGTGAAGGGAAGGAGAAAGGTCATGGGGTTCAATGGGAGTACACTGAACTTGGCAGTAAGATGACCCAAATTCTAAGTACCAATTCTGGTATAAGCTCTGTAACACTATGAGAAATTTCACTTTTTTGTGCTTCAATTCCTTAAAAAAAAAAAGGGGGGGGGGGAGCAGATCAGTGGTTCCTAATTTAGGATCCTCAACCTATTTTCAAAGAGCTATTTCAAAATCATTTCATTTCCCTGTAATAAGGTTGCTCAAATTTTTAGAAACTCAGGTCCTTCTGAAGATTCAAAATCTTTTTTTTTTTTTTTTTTTTTGACAGGCAGAGTTAGACAGTGAGAGAGACAGATAGACAGAAAGGTCTTCCTTTTTCCGTTGATTCACCCCACAAATGGTAGCCGGCACATTGCACTGATCCGAAGCCAGGAGCCAGGTGCTTCCTCCTGGTCTCCCAAGTGGGTGCAGGGCCCAAGGACCTGGGCCATCCTCCACTGCACTCCCAGGCCACAGCAGAGAGCTGGACTGGAAGAGGAGTGACCGGGACTAGAACCCGGGGTGCCAGCGCCGCAGGCAGAGGATTAGCCTACTGAACCACGGCAGCAGCCAGTTCATTATTTTTAAAAACCAAGTATCATTTACATAATTGTTCAAACAGGCCCGTATTAAGGTACTTCATTTTAAATTATGTATGGATGTAGTTTTTTAGACTGCAATAATTCAAGAGAAATTTCACTATGTATCTTCCACTGAGCCCCAGACTGAGAATACTGGGATGCTTGCGCTTTAGTGAGACAGTCTTATGTCTATTTCCACACCAAATCCAGAGGCTATCCTTGTGACTACACTGGTGTAGTGCAGAAGGAAGGAATCTGGAGTCAGACAGACTGGGTTCATATTCTGGATAACCTGGGATTTTTCTTCTTAAAAATGAATAATACCACGTTACATATTTTAGCATTTTTCTAAGGTGTAAAGAAAATAAAGCTAAAGTACAAATGAATAGCTGGTAGATATACTTATATACAAGTATCTGCCTATGAACTTATTTACATTCTAGATTTGCTCCATTTCAAAAGGGCAGGACAGCTGAGAGTTAACATACAATTTCAGTGATCTAATGATTCTAATAATGTACTCTGATCAGGTCAAGCTCTCCAAGGCAGTTGTAGGAATATGCACTAAGTGTTATGTTTATTAACATTCTTATCTGGTTCTTTTAAGTTTTAATATATAATTCTTTTCTCTGGAATATTTTCATGAAATGTTTTTTTGTACCTATTTGAATTTTAAGCCAAACCAAACCTAATAGCTTCCAGTCATTTATTTTTCTTCTGTGTTGTGGTAAAACTGACAACTTGCATATAACAGGATACATCTGCAGATATCTCTATCAACAGTGACTTTAGGTTCAGTACAGCACACTTTGAACCTGGGAGAAAGTCACATGACTGTGGTTGTTTTCACTTTTTCATGCAGAGACTGTGTAGTTTACTGGTCGAGAGAATGGGCTTTGCAGTCAAACAGATGTGATCCAAACCAACTATGAGATCCTAAGCAAAAACTTAGCTGCTCTGTGACTCAGTTTTTAGTTTCCTCATTTATAAGAGGGCAAAAACTTACCTCACTGGGTTTCTGTGAGGAAATACTGAGCTAGTCTACAAAAAGTGCTGTCTAACCCAGAGTACATACTTAGTAAATGGTACTTATTGGAAAACTCAACATCTTAGCAATGTCCTGAGCAGCCCTGAGCATGATCAAGCAGCCAGAGAGCCACGGCTCTGTGTGCACACTGCTGCTGACGCCTTCGGTCTGTGTAACACAAAACAATGCCCAAGAACCCCCAAGCACTGCAGAGGTCCCTGCAAAGTATTTCTCAGTAGCATCCTTCATCAGGCCCATGGTCAGAGTTTCTAAAAACAACAACAAAGAACCAAGCACAATAAAAAATGTAGCGATCAGTTGAATTTTTCTCATCCCATCCCAATTTCTAAAAATGTCATTTTCACTTATCTAGATTCATTAAAATAAACTCACATCGAACATAGGTTACTGCTCCAGGCTAGGTATGTACCTATTTGATATCCAGATAGAATCTCCATAATTTAGGAGGTGAGAAGACCCACAAGAGATAGGGGCTCTGGTGAACAACCCTGTTCCAAACTAGCCTCTGGCTGCTGAGGGCCCTACAGAGTTCTGTGGCTCTCTCATCATAGTTCTCTGCAGAAGGCCAAACCCAAACCAACTGTTCTTCACATACAGAAAGCTTAATTGAGGGAACTGGACAAGCAAGCAACAAATATCTATCAGATGAGGATAAAACCTGTAATTAATCATTGCATAAAGTTCACTACTAACCTAAATATATATATGTATATATGTATGTATATACACACACATACCTACCTCCTGTCCTCAATCTCTAGCTGTAACTGCATCTGAATCCACATTTTATTACAGAAGGACAACCACAAGTAGTCAAAGCAAAAGAGCTTTGTGTCATGTAAATTTTATGCAACAATATGATAGGATGCCCTTATCTGCCTTCAGTTGGGATGTGACAGTGAGCGCTGCAGCAGCCATCTTGCAGCCACAAGGAAAAGCCAGAATATTATAGCAATGTTATCACTGACATAATTGTGCCACTGAATCCACACCAGAGGCATGTACCTCCAGAGATAAGAAATGAAACCTTCATTTAAGCTACTGTTAACAGGTTTTATACTGCATAATTAACATTATTTTCCAATATCTCAAAAGTGAGAAGCCTTTTCATTTTAAAAATGTTTTATTTATCACATGGTTGTAGGATACAACTGGCAACTAACTTACTGTCTGAAGCTAAAGATGTTCTACATCCTGTAGAGTGCATGGGGCAGTGACACTAAAAATGGCAGTAACATGCAGTAAGGGTAACCCTGGACAGAATATTTAGACCATCTCCAATGGCTACTTTACTGAGCTACTACTGTAGTTAGTACTGCTTTTACTACGGTTTGACACTATGAAAGCAGACTAAGGCTTTATCAAACGTGGTTTCTGTTCTCTAGGGTCTAATGGCCCAACAGTGGAGAAAAGACTGCTAGATAAACAGCCAAGAAAAAGAGCATCATGGAGGCCAGAGACAATTAAGTCAGAGTGAGAGCGCTCACTTCCAGCTGGGATTCTTGGAGATGGTGGAAAGCACAGTTCTTAGGAATGGGTTGGATTTGTCAGGCAGTGAAGTGGGAGCAGCAGATTGATTACTTAAGTAGTTCAGTTTGCATATGACACAGTACAGGGAGGAAAGGTAGCCAAAGTCCTAACTGGACAACATCGCCAGTTAAGGGAGAGAACAGAGCAGAGCAAGCCAAACGCACAATGGAACAGAGAGAAAGCTAAGAGAAGAACCTAAACAGCACTGCATCCAAGGGATATGTGGATTTGAAAATATCAACTGCTTAGCAACAGTAAGTACTGTAGGGAAGTTAAGAAAAATAGACTGGGGTGCTCCTGAGTTTGCATTCAGGAGCTGTTTTTATACATTGTCAGGTCAAGGCAACAGCCAATGTTGGAGGAGACCTGGAGACCCAGAGTCTGCATGCCAGAAGTTGGCCATTTGTTCTCTATGACACAAAGCAGGAGAAAAGACAGACATGCAGCAAGTCAAGTTTTTCCCAACATGAAATAGAAAATTAGTCATGTTTCTAAGCTAAAGGAAAGGAAACAGAGAAAAGACATGGAAGATGCTAATGCTGGTTCCAGAACTACAAAGCAGAAAAACAAGCTGAAAGACTAGGTAGACATGGGGAGAGGGGGGCAAGGTTTCTAAGATATGCTTGACTGACCTAATGTTCACTCCCCAAATGGCCACAACGGTGAGAAGTGGGCCGAGCTGAAGCCAGGAGCTTCCTCTAGGTCTCCCAGATGGGTGCAGGGCCCAAGCACTTGGGCCATCTTCCACTGGTTTCCCAGGCCATAGCAGAGAGCTGGATTGGAAGAGGAGCAGCTGGGACATGACACCACAGGCAAAGGCTTAACCTACTACAGCACACTGCCAGCCCCTGCTCCATTTCTGATCCAGCTCCCTGCTAATGGGCCTGGGAATACAAAAGACTGTCCAGGTACTTGGGTCCCTGCTACACATGTGGGAGATCTGGATGAAGTTCCTGGGTTCAGCCTGGCCCAGCCCTCGCAGTTGCAGACATCTGGGGAGTGAACCAGTGGATGCAAGATCTCTGTCTCTCGCTCTCTTTCTGTAACTCTGCCTTCCAAATAAATAAACAAATCTTGAAAAAAATTTCATTCCTTTTAAGTAAATAAATCCCATAATACATGTAATTTTATTCTTACAGGCAGCTGGATGACTTACCACTGGGTCATACTCCCAGAGCTGGTTGCCTTTGAGGTGGTGGCATTTGAGCATCGTGACTGGGCCATGCAGTTTGGAAACATCCAAGCAAAGGTCATCTGTTCGAATTTCTTTGTTGGCAGTATACGAGAAAACCTGGAACACAAAAAGGAATACACAGAAAGCTGTAACAATAAAAAATTAGCGTTTTAGATGTTCAAAAAGCTGGCAAGTAAAAAACCAGTACTTCAAGATACATAAATTTTGGGCTTTATTAAAATAATGGAGAATAAAATGACTCAGAAAAGCTGTCATTAAGTTCACACAGAGGAAAGCAAACAACACTGAGATCTCTGCATACACTGAGAGCGCTCTCAAGGTCTGTCACCTGCTTAAAAAGGGCAACATCAGTTTTGTGCTCCCCAATGGAAATACAGTTCTCACAGAGGCCTTCTACAAATGTTTCAGTAAAGAATCCTTAAGATTGAAGGCTCCATTCACTTTTATTCATGTATTATTTTTACTTTAAAGGTACAAAAATATTTACTGAATGTCATGGGAAAGCAAAATTAAATTCACAAATGCTCCCTTTTAAAGATTTATGAAGGTACTTACCTGATTACCTCCCATACCATGACAATTAAAAATTCCAACTTTTTCATTCTCTTTTCTGGCCATGTTATCAAGACACTGATTTGTTTCTACATTTCGAATCTACAGGACAATAAATAAGGAAAATATCATGAGTTAGAGAAGTTAACCACACTGGCAGACACATATAACCACTAAAAACCTTCCCTAGTGCTGCTCTGAAATGACCATGAATTCCTCGGATAAAGGCTACTCAGTCTGGGGACAAAAATGGGCTGCCTAGAGTCTGTTAAGTCTAGAAAGTTCTTACAGACTGTTTATATAATTTCTGTTTTTAAGTGGGAGGTCATTAGGGCCTGGATCCACTTGGCAAGTGGTCATTAGGGCCTGGATTCAGGAGTGTAGGGTCAAAGAGAGAGAGGGGCCTTCGGCTTTGCTAGCGTCTCCCTGGTTCTCCTCAAGCATGTGCAGGCTCAGCCCAGGGCAGCTCTGCTGTGTGGGCTCCCTGGGTACAGATCTTTCTCTTTAGCTAGAAGATGAGCACACAACATGCTCTCGTCTCAGGAGCCCTGAGGGTGGGCCTCCAGCTCCCCAGTGGCAGCCCTGTTCCACAGCAGGACAAGGTCCCTGGCTTTACTGAGGGAGAAAGGATCTCTGTTCAGACTCTGCTTGTTTCCTTGCCCTCCCCATCCTCCAATAGCTGGGATGAGGAAGCTTGTCTGGCTGTAGTTCTAGGGAGCCATCAGAAAATTCAAGGGCCAGGGATCTGGGCCAGTTGCCCTTGACTGTTCTTGTTGAAAGGCATTACTTTCTAAAGAGACTTTAGGTGGGTATTCAAGTCAAAGGACTTACAGCCTGGCTTACTGGAAATCTAAGTGTGGTGTAGTGTGAACTCCATTCTTTCATTAATCACTTGTTGATTACATAAAAATAACTTAAATCCACCATCAGAATTAGGAATATTTTAAGCACTGTCCCTGGAAATTTTGCTTCTTCTATAGTGCTGCAGTTTAAAAGCAAACAGTAAATTAAAGGACATTTAAAAGTCCTAAATCTATTTCCATGGATGTTACTGTATCAAGTAAGTGAGGGAGATGCACAATAGACTATAACTGTTGTGTCAAATCGAAAAAAAAAAATTAACTGTGTGTGATAAAGTGGGGTAAAGTTACAACCATAAACAAGAAGCCACTCACTTTTATAAACAAATGTATACTCTGAATATTATTCCAATACTTCAATAAGGCACTAACTGGTCCACATACATTCATTTATTTTAAAGATTTATTTATTTGAAAGAGTTATACAGAGAGAGGAGAGGCAGAGAGAGATCTTCCATTTACTGGTTCACTCCCCAATTGGCCTCAACAGCCGGAGCTGTGCCAATACAAAGCCAGGAGCCAGGAGCCTCTTCCAGGTCTCACACGTGGGTGCAGGGGCCAAAGGACTTAAGCCATCTTCCACTGCTTTCCCAGGCCATAGCAGAAAGCTGGATTGAAAATGGAACAGCCAGGTCTCGAACCGGTGCCCATATGGGATGCTGGCACTGCAGGTGGAGGCTTAACCCACCATGTCACTGTGCTGGCCCCCCACATACATTCTTAAAATATATTTGACGAAGCCAGCGCTGTGGCACAACAGGTTAAAGCCCTGGCCTGCAGTGCTGCCATCTCATATAGGTGCCGATTCGTATCCCATCTGCTCCGCTTCCGATCCAGCTATCTGCTGTGGCCTGGGAAAGCAGCAGAGGATGGCCCAAGTCCTTGGGTCTCTGAGCCCAAGTGGGAGACTCGGAAGAGGCTCCTGGCTTCAGATCAGCTGAGCTCTGGCCGTTGCAGTCATTTGGGGAGTGAACCAGTGGATGGAAGAACTATCCCTCTCTCTCTCTGGCTGTACCTCTCTCTGTCAATAAGTAAGTAAATTTAAGTAATTTTTTTAAGATTTATTTTATTTGAAAGAATAGGTGAGACAGATCTTCCATATGCATTTTTATTATAAAGGTTCAAAGGCACATGCATTAAGAATGGTATTATTCTCAGGAAGTCAGGCATAAGAACTGAGATTCTGAGAAGAGACCAAAGTTTAAATACAAGTTGTCTAAACTCTTTAAGATCAGTAACTGCCGGGAAGTGTCAGCCCTATGCTGTAGTTATGTGAAACAAACACACCCAGGTACCTGTATCAGAGTCTACCACAGGCAGGGTCAGCAACAGTAATAATCTGCACCATCACCTTATCACTAGCCACTTCCATCTCAGTTCATTCAAAAAAAGAGCTTTCAATTCTTTTTTTAAAAAACTAACACTTTCTCATCACAAAATTTTGGGATGGCTGCCTGAAACAAACCTATACTATCATTCCTCCAAAAACTTCCCCAATTCTCCTAATACCCTTTTTTCTATTACTAATACTACAACTTGTCCACTTACTCAAACTGGAAACCTCAAGCTTGTTTTTTATTTTATTTTTTTCTTTCTGAGTCCAATACATTTTATCAGTGCCCAGGAATTCTTTCATAATTCACATCATATTTATTATTTTAATCCAGGAGCCATTATACAGATTGTACCAAAGGTTTTATAGTTAAATAGAACTCTGAATAAAGCACACTTTCCAATATACCAGGAAGTGATCAGTTAGTATTTGATGATGGCCATCTTACTTGAAAAAATGCTAAAATACTTAGTTCCGCTGTGACAAGATGTGTCTATCTCACATGTTCACCTAAAATACCACTCTTTTTTAATTTTGGAGGCAGAAACAGATAAAGCTCCTATCCATTGGTTCCCTTCCCAAATGCCTGCGACAGCCAGGGCTGGGCCAGGCTAAAGCCAACAGCTAAACTCCATCTGGGTCACCATGTGGGTTGTAGGGATTCAAATACTTGAGCCATTTCTGTTTGCCCCCAGGGTACATATTAGCAGGAAGCTGGACTGGAAGCAAAGTAGCTAGGACTTGAACCAGGCACTCTGATATGGAATAAAGGCATCCTAAGAGGTGACTTAGCTGCTAAGCCAAATGCCCTCCAACCCTTTGTACTTCTAATCAAAATTATAAGTGTTAAGCTGTTGCCTGGGAAGCCTAGCTGTTGTGGGCATTTGAGGAGTGAACCAGCACACAGAAGATCTCTCTTGCTCTCTTTTTCTCTGCTTTTGAACAGTCGGAAAAAAAAATTACACATTTTTTAAAAAAATTACAAACTTTATCATCCTGTTTTCCTCAACTTTTTTCTTCCAAATAGGCTGTAAAGGTTGCTGAAGAAAGGTGATAAATGCTGCTGGAATGGTTACAGTAGAACCAATCTTATCCTCTGCTTTTCTCTCTCTGATATGGAAAACTATTTGGAAAAATTGTGTATCCTGTACCCAAACTCAAAACAAATTGAAAAAAAAAAAAAAAAAGCGCCAGAATTCTCCCAAAATTTAATAGGGCTTCCGTTATTTTCTAAATATTTGCTTCCCTAGGTGATATTGCTAATAAATGACAGAAAGTAAATTGTTCTATGTTAGGCACTATTTTATAGAGTGTACACAAGGGTATTTCAAAAAGTTCGTGGAAAAACAGAATTAAAAGTTAAACTTATTTTGAGCAAAAAAATTCTGAAATCCATGCATAGGTTTTTCATAACACATTTTCCATGAACTCTTTTGAAGTCCCTATATCAAAGTTTATTCCATTCTCACAAATATTCTTATAATTAACTCTGGTTGTTTCCTGATATGGGAGATATTCTGACCACCAGATGTTACAAGTGCAGATTCTCCAAGGATTGGACATCATGACTTCCCTTCAGCTGTTAACTGGATCAGCAGGATAAGCTCAGTGAGGCCCAGGTGAGATGAGCTGTGATGTTTTAATCCCTGAATGGCTTTAGATGGCAGAGAGAATTCTGTAAGACTCAAACATGTGGCTCTTTGAAGCTGAAAGGATATTTGCTCTCCTCTACATACTGGGTGGCTAGAAAAGACTGTTTTCAGGGAATATGCTCCTAGTCTTATAGGAACACAAAGGGACAACCTCATCTATGGAGTTTGCAAGATATTTCCTTGAAGACACAAAAAACCAGGGGTAGATTCTGGGAATTTTTTTTTTTTTTTTCAGGATTCTAGTAGGGTGAAGATTTTAGTTTGGTGGGAATTAAGCGGAAGAGGAGAAAATTCAGGAACAAATATATTTTCTAGTGATGTTGAATCAGTTTCTCATAATTTAATTCCACATAGTTTTGAGGATATGTAACCAATTACCAGTCTTCTAGTGTGGTATGGAAATAGGAGCAAGTATTCCAATATCTTTTCCAACACTTGCTATTATGTGTTTTGTTTTGTTTTGAAATATAGCAGCCATCCTAGTGAATGTGAATTTGGTCCTTTCTTTTTTATCTTCCAATTTTCATTCTCCACCAGCTGACACCCATTTTTATTTCTGTGCAGAACTCCTTTAAGACCTGTATTCATTCATGATCAGCCCTTCTCCTTCTCTCCTGAAGCTATCAGAGCTCCCTAACAATCTCTATGGGCAGTCTTGATACTGTGGCTAAATACAATGACCAATTCGCAGCACCCATCTTACTTGATTCCTTTGCTGTATTTAACACAGGTGCTCAACTCTTCGTTCTTCAAACATACCTTTCATTTTAGTCTCTGGGACACTTCCTATTTCACTGGCCACTTCTACCTATCTCTTGCTGGTTTTTTGTTAATTCCTCCTCAAAACTGTCAACTCTGAGCTGTGCAATTTCTTATGGCTCAGTCCTCAGTCTTATCTTGCCTCCTGTATTTGATCCACTCAAGGTGACCTTTTGCAGTTCTGTGCCTTTAAAACTCATCTAAACACTGACAACCCTTAACTTTAGATCTTCACTGCCAAGTCTTCCTTCAAATCGCACTTATTTTTTAAAGATTTTATTTATTTATTTGAAAGTTAGATTTACAGACAGTGAGAAGGAGAGACAGAGAGAAAGGTCTTCCGTCCACTGGTTCACTCCCCCAAACGGCCACAACGGCTGGAGCTGCGCCGATCTGAAGGTGGGAGCCAGGAGATTCCTCCAGTCTCCCACACGGGTGCAGGGGCCCAAGGCCAAGGACTTGGGCCATCTTCTACTGCGTCCTCAGGCCATAGCAGAG